TAGGACTTATATTTCTTTGTAGTAACAATGGTAGAGAAGACTCTTTTGAAGGAATTCCTAATTTTGTTATTATATTTTGAAAGGGGGAAATTGTCAGTGATCTAGTAACATTGTTATATTTCATTGGAAGGCAGTAACTCATATTTCCAAAATCGTATTATTTGGGTGCCATATGATGGTCATATATTTTGCCTGCTGCCCAGATAAAGCCAATTTATCAATATAAGGAAATTGCAATAGAGAAACAGTTTAATACATGTAAAACAGGCTAGAAGGTAGACTGGAGTTTTATTATTACTCAAACTAACCTCCCTGAAAATTTGGAGGCTAGGGTTTTTCAAAGATAGTTTGGCAAGCAGAGGGCTAGGGAATGGGTGCTGCTGATTTGTCAAGAATGCAATCATAGGGATAGGGAAAATGACCTTCCTGAAGCTGAGTCCACTTCTGAGTAGTGGCCATAGGACCAGCTGAGTCAAGAGTCATGGGTCTGGTGGGACCATCCAGTCATCAGGAATGCAACGCCTGAAAAGACATCCATAAATCCAATCTTAGATTCTACACTAATGACATTATTTACAAGAGTAATTGGAGAAGTTGCAAATGTTGTCACCTATAGAATAATGGCTGGTAATGGAATAATGTTTTAACTATAAATTAAGACCCTCTCATCCTCCTAACCTGGTAGGCTTTCATTAGTTTAACAAAGGTGGTTTAATTTATTGAGAAGGGCTATTATAACTTAAACTACAAACTAAATTTCTCCCAAAGTTAGCTTGGCCCATGCTCCGAAATAACCAAGGGCAGTTTGGAGGTTGGTTAGGTAAGATCTAACAAGATCTAGAAAGATGAAGTTGGTTAGGTCAGATCTCTTTCACTGTCATAATTTTCTCACTCTTACAATTTTTGCAAATGTGATTTCATAATGAGTTCAGTTGCACCATGTAATTTTGTACAATTTAAGATGGAAAAGGTAATAGGGTATTAATTTTATTTTTACAGTGTAGAAAGACTTTGAGAACAAATTTAGTTAAATATGGTCCAGTTCTGATAAATTTCAGTATTTCAAAAGAATCTTGGTGTAACAGAAGACACTGAGAGTCAGACCTGCCCATCCTACTGGTCTGATATGGGTTCTTAACAGCAGAAGGGAAGGAATGGGTTAATGACCCCACAGAAAGGAGTCAAAATGTTCTGAGGATCCAAAAATCTTCTCAAAGCGCCAGCCATACCCCTTGTTTGGCTCTAAATTTGTCTTCTAATTGGTTTACAGTATTAAAGGAAAGAGAAAAGTTCCATCTTTTAGCTTAATTTCCTGCTTCTTTCTTATTCTTCATTTATCCCTTCTGGCACACCCTGATTAAGAGCAAAGCCATTTAATATCACCAACATGAGTACTGAGATACGGGGCCATGATTAAAGACCAAACACACTTAATTGGCTATGATTTTGGGGAGGGCTTTTATTGTGTCAAGCTGAAAATTTTTGCTTACATTTGTCAGACAGATGTGCTTACAAAAGAAACTCATTATTGAGATAAATTAAGGAGGAAAGGGTGGGGCCCATTAATAGTTCTGTTCTGGGGTAACCGTAGACTAGAAAGAAAAGCTGCTGGGACTGAAGTCCTCAGAAAGTGGAATCTGAGATACACAGACATTCCCGCTACCACCCCATCCCCACTACCTTCTCTTTCAACAGCCACAGAAGTTTTTATTTCTGATGTCACCTTTATTTTTTAAAGTGCTCCAAGAGCAAGAGATTCAGCCACTGGCAGCTCTGGATTAATTTCCTAAAGTTTTTGATTTGTCCTGCACCCTATAAATGTGTCTGTTCAATCTCCAGGTCTGAAAATATCAGAAAAGATTCTTACTGGCTCAGCTTGGGTGGCATGCCCACCCTTTGAACCAATCATGGTACCCCAGTGAGTGCAGTTCCTTTCTTGACTAAACCTGAGTGCAGAGTGGACTATCCTGATTGACCATTTTCATCATCCCAGTCTTGTTCGGAACAGCAAGTCATGAACCACTTGTGAAATACAACATACAAGAAAACAATAGAACACAACACAATAATTTAGAAAGGAATGTCAGAATGCTTCCACCATAGCATATTGTTTTTGAAAACTTTTGTTTTAGCTCTTGGTATGTGCATGTTTCCCTAACTGTGACTTTGGTCATGCAATAAAAGGTATTTCTTAAATGGTTTTTGTAGTCAAAAAAAAAAAAAAGATGAAAAAACTTTTAGCTCTACTGTACAGTTTGGGTACTTGAATTCTGTCAATGTTGATGTTTCCAGATTAGGAGTTTGTGATGTGTTACAGCAGTAAGACAGTTCCCTTGCTGCATTAGAGCATGATTGCTCACTTATTCACTGCTTATTCTCTGCTCCTCATTCACCCACTTTGGAGGATAATCAGATGTACTTATTTCCCTTCTGGGTTTTAATACCAAGTATTATGTGTCCTTGCTCATTGTCAGTTTCATTTGTCTTTAATCCCCCTACATTCCCTATTTTCCACAGTGTAATTACAGTAGAAAATTGTCATTTCCTTTAGTAAATGTTTACTATGGCTTTCTGAATTTATAAATGAAAAACAGCCAACACTCACCAAAAATGTTCTGTTTTACTTATTAAAGTCCCTTGTCATGTAATACAATTTGCATGAACTGAGGATGACAGATTAATGCCATCATTTTGAAGCAGCTGCAATTACTACATTGAACATCAGTGAGTTACTGAAATGATATTTTTTGAAACTTGATCACAGCTCCTTTTCTGAAAGGGTGTATGGCTCTGAGGAGAACTGATGATTTCCAATAATTATTTCCCAGTTAATTGTGGGGCATTGCCCTGCAGATGTTACTTAAATCTGATTTTATTTCCTTCTACTAGTGTATGAGAATCTTTTTAATACCCTTTTTAAAGATTTGTCTAATCATCAAGAACATTATTAAATAACAGTGATTTTAAAAGTACTCTAACAAGAACTACCAGTATTCCACTAAGAAACAAAGATTATCCATCTAAACATATTAACAAATGCCTTTTAAGCATCTCCTGAGTTTAAGATTTATTTTTCCTTTAGCAAATAGGTTTGCATTTTACTCAGCATTCAAACATCCTTACACTCATAGATGGATCCTGGTTTATCACTGTTAACTTTTTAATTGGCTACCAGAGTTGGTTGCTCATATGTAATGGAAGATTTGTGTATATTTACTTCTGAGAACGTGCTGCACTTAGTAGCATGCCTTCTTCATTCACTTTTGGGATTTTTTAATAATTCGAAAACATTTCATTAGCTGTAGATTTATCCTTTTCTTAAATGTCTAAGAAGAAGCCTGATATTTGAAGATGTTAGCTCATTGGTGACCTCATTTTTTCCCCATTCATCTTAGTCCTCACTGCTTTCTAGGTTTAATTTAAGCAATTTCTATTTTTTCAGAAACTCTTACATTTCTTCAATATTTTTAAAAATGTTAACATAGGTTTTTTTAAACTGTGTTCTTGTAACCTTAAAACAATTCCTAAATATCTCTATCTAAATTAAGTTCCCAGAGGTTTAATAATTGTTTTCAACAAATAGTTCTTATATTTATTTAATTCTATAAGTTTGGAGTAATAATTTTATGGACACAAGCATTATGAAGAAAATAACTTTTGGCCGTGCGCAGTGGCTCACGCTTGTAATCCCAGCACTTTGGGAGGCCCAGGTGGGCGTATCACCTGAGGTCAAGAGTTTCAGATCACCTAACCATGGTGGTGAAACCCCGTCTCTACTAAAAATACAAAAAAATTAGCTGGGTGTAGTGGCACGTGAATGTAATCCCAGCTACTCGGGAGGCTGAGGCAGGAGAAACGCTTGAACTCAGGAGGCGGAGGTTGCAGTGAGCTGAGATTGCACCACTGCACTCCAGCCTGGGCAACAGAGCAATACTCTGTCACACAAACACACACACACACACACACACACATAGAGTATTAGGCTTTGGTTTGAGATACAACCCACATATTAAATATTAGTATCTTTATACTTATAAATACTCATATTTATTTAATATATTTTATTTTATTTTTATTTAAATATATTTATTATATTTTATTAATAAACTCATAAAGTTTATTAATATGAGTATTTATAAGTATGAAGATACTTATATCTCAGTGTGTCCGTTATATCTCAAACCAAAGCCTAATTATGGGTTTATATCTTAGTGTGTAGCTTATAAACCTTATAAACATTATAAACTTTATTATAGTGTATTAAGCACTTTCACATAAACAAGGTATCAAATATCCATATGTACCTTTTATCTTTTGCTTTATTAACATGGCATGGCTACGGTCTTCTAGACATATAACCATCCTAGAATTCTCGGAAGGTAATTCTTTGGCAGAAGAAAACATGCGCCCTAGGAGTATGTTTAGATATGCCCATTCCTTGACTGAGTAGAGGCATGCTCTCCCAACAAGAGTTGTACTGAAAGCTGCAAGTTTACAAATCTTCTTCCTTTGCTTCTAATCAGTCTAATTCAACTCCCTAACTAAAATTCAACTCCCAAAATAGGATTCCCCGTCTTCACATTATTTTTCTCAGGAAAGGTTGTCACGATAACGTCCTAATTTGTTTGTTCATTTTTCCAAGAAGGATGGCATTTCCCCTTCCAGGAGCCTGCTATGATGACTGCCCTGCCTACCTGAAGTAGGTGCTCAAACAGTTTCCCCCAGAAGCATCAAGTTCTGCTGTCAATACTACCGAGTATTAAAGGAAACTGCTTCGGATACCCCAATAACCAGAACTGTTCTGAGTCCTGTTTACGAAAGCTGTAGTCTTATTGACGAAACAGCATTTTGCAATCCTTTTTGTAAACTAGCTCTTACTCAGAAATTGAGTGGCTCTGAAAAGAGCCTTTGATTTTAGCTTTGGGTTTTTTTTCTTCTTCTTTTTTTTTTTTTTTTTTTTTCCTTCTTCTTCTTCTTCTTCTAGACATTAGACATTCAAGTCACTTCGCTGGCTTTTACAACTTGCGTGGTTATTCACACTGGACTTTGTGGTAGTGACTCCCAATCTTTTGGGGCAGCAGCACAGCTTGGATGTTGGGCAAGACGTCACCCCAGGACATTGTCACTCGGCCCAGCAGCTTGTTGAGTTCGTCGTTGCGGATGGCCAGCTGCGTGTGGCGTGGGATGATGAGGGTGTTCTTGCCCCGACGGCGTTGCCCACCAACTCCAGGATGTTGGAGGCCAGGTACTCCAGAACCGCAGGCGGGTACCCTAGCGAGCCGCCCCCGACCCGCTCAGCATAGCTGCCCTTGCTGAGCAGCCGGCGGACACAGCCCATGAGGAACTGCAGAACCTCTCTGAATGAAAAGCGCCTGCCTTTTCCCCGAGCTTCCCCAGTCTAAGACATAGCTTAAAAATAAAAATTATAACGGAAAAAGACACCCGTTAAAACGGGTAGTCAGCGTATTTCTAGTCTGATGGCAGATGGTGGCTTATTATCTGACTGATTGGCTGATAGCCATCTATCCAATCAGAGAACCTTACTGCTATTGCCTTATTTACATACTTCCTCTACCTATTATCCAATCAGATGTTGGCTGCAAATGACGTAGGTTGAGGGCCATACCTATAAATATCACACTTCGCTCCAGTCAAATGTCACTTACTGATCTCCCAGTGAACTTGTAAGATGAACGTGCTGCAGCTTGCTTCAAAGGGCACTACAACTTCCAAAAAGGGCTTCAAGAAGGCAGTCGCTAAAACTCAAAAGAAGGAGGGTAAAAAGCGCAAGAGATGCCGCAAAGAGAGCTATTTTATTTACATTTACAAGGTGCTGAAGCAGGTCCACCCGGACACTGGAATCTCTTCCAAGGCCATGAGTATCATGAATTCTTTTGTTAGTGACATTTTTGAGCGCATTGCAGGTGAGGCTTCCCTCCTGGCGCATTATGACAAGCACTCGACCATCACCTCCAGGGAGATCCAGACGGCCATGTGCTTGCTGCTGCCCGGGGAACTAGCCAAGCATGCTGTGTTAGAGGGCACCAAGGCTGTCACCAAGTACACCAGCTCCAAGTAAAACATAATCCAGCCAGCAGATGAGCTCCACAAACCAAAGGCTCTTTTAAGAGCCAGTGAAAGCTTCTAATAGGGCTGTAGAATGTTTATTTTATTATAGGGTATGCGTCATTGCCAGACTGATAAACTTTTTTCCTGGACTAGACATACATGGTTATCTCTTAAGTCTAAATTTCGCATTAACTCTTTCTGCAGCAGTTTGGGTGAAAGTTAAAATCTCACAGCTGAAGCAATCCAAGAGGAGCTCCCATAATCCTGGGTTCATGGGGATATTCTTTCTGTGGATAGTGCCATGGGGAAATTTGACTTTTTGTCTATGACTTTTTCTACTACAAACCCTCTACGATGACAAAAAAGGCCTGGAGCTCCCCACTTAGGGAAGTCTGGCACTGAGCATTAGGCTGTTTGCTTTTTCTTGACTTTGGCCATAATGTGTGCAAAACATCCTCCAAGTCCGGGTGGACCTGATCAGCACTTTGTAGATGTAAATAGAATAGCTCTCTTTGCAGCATCTCTTGTGATTTTTACGCTCCTTTTCTTGCACTCTACTATGAAAAGTGATCAGGCTAACTCTCCTTTATCTGCTGGGATTTGAGGTTTAAAGCCGCAGGTTTCTGCGTCTCTGTGAACTCCAGTAAACTGCTTACTCAATATCACAGTTCTTAATGTTGCTTAGCCACTTAAGAATTCTCTCCACAGGGATTTCCAGATGATTCCAACAGAACTCTTTCCTGGACATCTGTGTTCTCTATATCCATGAGTACCACCCTATTCACATGGTTGTCCAAACCAGAAATGTTTTTTCTCTAATAGTCTCTGTTCAACTTCTATCCACTTCAATCTCTCAAGATATGGTAATTTTACTTCCTATATATTTCTGTTGTCTGATTATTCACCATCTCCACAGCTACCATTTTTGTCTGCATACTCATATCTCTCAAGTGAATTACAGTTTCTAATTAATCTCACTGCTCTTAATCTTGCCTCCCTAAAATCCACTCTCTGCCCAACTATTTTCATTTCTTAAATTGACAAATAAAAACCATGCATTTACTGTATACAACATGACGTTTTGATATATGTATACATTATGGAATAGCAATCAATCTAATTAACATAGGCATTACCCCACATATTTTTTGTTACGGAAACACTTAAAATCTACTTTCTTTGCAATTTTCAAGAATAGAACATATTGTTACCAACTATAATCAGCATATTGTATAATAGAGCTCTTCAACTTATTCCTCCTAAGTGAAATTTCATATCCTTTGACCAATATCTTCCCACCACTCCCCAACTGTAGCCACTGGTAACCACCACTCTGCTCTCTACTTCCATGAGTTCAACATTTTTTAAATTCCACTTATGAGATCATACAGCATTTGTCTTTCTGTGCCTGGCTCATTTCACTTAACATCCTCCAGGTTCATCCATGTTGCTGCCCATGACAGGATTCTTTTTCTAAGGCCAAATAGTATTCTATTTTGTATATATGCCACATTTTCTTTATCCGTCTGCTGATGGACATTTATGTTCTCTCTATATCTTGTCTATTGAGAATAATTCTGCAATGAACATGGGAGTACAGATATCTCTTTGAGAATCTGATTTTATTTCCTTTCAATATATACCCAGTAGTAGGATTGCTGGATTTATATGGTAGTTCTATTTCTAATTTTTTGAGGAAATTCTATAGTGTTTTCCACAATGTATGCACTAAAATATAATTTTCAATCTTATTTGAAGCACAAATATTACTATATCACACATTTTTAAAAATATTTTGAAAACTCAATCTGGCATTGTTTCATTAATAATATTAAACATTTTATTGCATGTACATAGAAATTTATATTAAGCTGTGTATAGGATCAGCTAGACTAGGAAAGAAATTCATAATACAATAAAAGTTTTGAATTTTGGAGCTTTTTGGGTTACGGATGCTCAACCTGTATTGCAGACATGTAAAACTCAAGAAAATCTACCAGGAAACCAATAGCAAAGTAAGTCAATTCAGTGAGGTACTAGAAGGATATAAAAAATAATAATAATGCACAGAAAGCAGTGTTACATATATAACAACAAAATGTTAAAAAATAATGAATAGGAAATACCTCATTTACAGTAACAACAAAAACAAAATACCCAGAACTATATTTAACTTTTTAAAATGCCAAATATGTATGAAGGTAGATGATCAGTTCACACCCATCCTGTGGTCTTCTGTAGGTGAATGACTCAGGCAGCACCTGAACTAGGCTCAGTTCTAGAAAACGGACCTGAGAGGAGTGGGGTCCTCTGGGAAGACTCCTTTTGCTCTCAATCCAAGACCCAGTGGAATAGAGTGACTCTTCCTGCCTTTACTTTATCATCTCTGCATGAACACTTGGAACTGTGACCAGTATGATGGCAAAATCACAATGGGGAGAAGGGCAGAGGCAAGACTGCAGGGTAGTGGAGCCAGGGCTGTGATCATCCTACTGGTGGAACTTCTCTGCCTTTAGGCTGTCCTGTTTGGTTGCATTACTTATTATCTCAACCAGTCCAGCTAGCATTTCCTGTTATTTGGAGCCAAAATACATCGATATAAAAGCTACATGAAGTTTAGTCTGAAAAAGAGTTTTTATTTGCTGGTATTCCTACTTATCTATTGCCCAAATAAGCCCAAAAGTCCTTGGATAATCAGGATAGTCTACTGACAGTGGTCACAAAGTTGACAGGTTATTTGGCAGTTATGTGATACCTGCTGTTTTCCAAGGTGTTAGAGAAGCATGAATAGCTGACTGGAGATGATCCCATCCCCAGTACAAGGTGAGCATAGATGCTAGATGCCCCTTCCCCCCAATTTGTCACCTCCTTGGAAGATTTCCCAGCTAAAGCACACAGGGGCTTTGCAGGAACTGCCTTACTGTTCACAAAAGTGTGGGGGCACTTATTTTAACAGGTCTTGTACATCGATATCTTCTTTTGTTGTTGTTTCTGAGACGGAGTCTTGCTCTGTCACCCAGGCTGGAGTGCAGTGGGATGATCTCCACTCAGTGCAACCTCCGCCTCCCAGGTTCAAGCGATTCTCCTGCCTCAGACTCCTGAGTAGCTGCAATTACAGGAGCGTGCCACCACGCCCGGCTAATTTTTTGTACTTCTAGTAGAGACGGTTTCACCGTGTTAGCCAGGATGGTCTCGATCTCCTGACCTCATGATCTGCCCTCCTCAGCCTCCCAAAGTGCGGGATTACAGGCTTGAGCCACCGCGCCCGGCTGGTACTAACTTTTTAATGTAAAGAAAGCACATATACACATCCAAAATTTCATTAAAAGATAAAGGTTAAATGAACATGCGTTAAACAGATTGAGAATTCCAGCTAACCAGGTTTCCAAGAAGTAACATTTGATTCGTTTTTAAGGTGGCTGAAATCAGTTTAATGCTTGAGAGACCTTACAGATGGAGGTCAACAACCAGTTAAGACGACAATTAAGGAAACTATTATAAATTTAAGAAAATTACAAGACACTTTAAATCTGTTTCATTCCTGCAAATCAGATTTGTGAGTTCTCCAGAGTTCCCAAAATTATTTCCACACCTTGACTTACCTGTGGCACAAAACGTAACTTCCTCTCAACTACTGCCTTTTTGGGAGGTCTATAAAAATTTGGGATCATAATGCAAGTTATATTGTCTACGTGGCTGCACTTTGTAGTTTTATATACATAATGCTAACCTTAAACATACCAATATCGAACAGGATGTAGCTTTTATACAAGCTACCGTTTTTGAGAGTCTCGCTGTCACCATGCTAGCGTGCAGTGACAACCTCGGCTCACTGCAACCTCCGACTCCTAGGTTCAAGCCATTCTCCTGCCTCCACCTCCCAATAAGCTGGGACTACGGTAAGCGATACCACGCCCACCTGATTTCCGAATTTTTAGCGGAGATGGGAGTTTCAGCTTGTTGGCCAAAATGGTCTACCATCTCCTAACTGCGTGAACCGCCAGCGTCCGCCTTTTCAAGTGCTGGGATTACACAGGCGTTAGCACCGGTGCCCCGCCAGGCTGGTCTTGTTGGAACTTGTTCGTCTACCTTAAGCCCACAGCTGATTATCTTTGAGTGGCTTTACGAAAACAGCCTTCACAGAAACATACAGTAAGCCCACAGCTCTTTCAGTATATTTAAGTGGCTCTGAAAAGAGCCTTTGGGTTATAAAGACGTTTACTTGGCCGGCTTACTTGGAGCTGGTGTACTTAGTGACAGCTTTGGTGCCCTCAGACACGGCATGTTTAGCCAGCTCTCCCGGCAGTAGTAACCGCACTGCCGTCTGGATCTCTCTAGAGGAGATGGTGGAGCGTTTGTTGTAGTGAGCCAAGCGTGATGCCTCACTCGCTATACGCTCAAAGATATCAGTGACGAAGGAATTCATGATACTCATGGCTTTGGAAGAGATTCCAGTATCTGGATGGACCTGCTTCAGCACCTTGTAGATGTAAATAGAATAGCTCTCCTTGCGGGTTCTCTTGCGTTTTTTGCCCTCCTTCTTCTGCGTCTTAACGACAGCTTTCTTAAAGCCTTTCTTGGAAATCGTAGCACCTTTAGATGATAACTCCGGCATAGCTGCTACGCTCTTCTGCAGTATTAAACAGCTCTTTTAAGTGTTAAACAGCTCTTTTAAGTGTTAAACAGCTCTGTAACACCTCAACTCCCACTGTCGCCAAGTAAACAAATAGCGGTGCTGGCTGAAAGGTGCCGTATTTATAGGCACGGCCCTCAAATGCCGTGTTGGGCATCCAAAATCTGATTGGACAATGCGAAGTGGCGTGAATGCAAATAAGGCGATTCTAGTAAGACTTTCTGATTGGGTAGAAGGCCATCAGCCAATCAGATAGCAAAATTCCAACCTCAGTCAGACTATAAATAGGCCCAGTAGAGCCGTTAGAGATGATTCTCCTGTTGCTGTAATTCTTCTGTGTCGGAATGTCTGGACGAGGAAAGCAGGGGGGAAAAGCACGCGCCAAGGCTAAATCTCGCTCCTCTAGAGCAGGTTTGCAGTTTCCCGTAGGTCGAATTCACCGTTTACTCCGTAAGGGAAACTATGCAGACCGGATAGGGGCAGGCGCACCAGTGTACTTGGCGGCAGTGTTAGAATATCTGACAGCAGAAATTCTTGAACTGGCTGGCAATGCATCTCGCGATAACAAGAAAACTCGCATTATTCCCCGCCACCTGCAGCTAGCCATCCGCAATGACGAGGAACTCAATAAGCTTTTAGGCGGCGTGACCATTGCACAGGGCGGGGTCCTGCCCAACATTCAAGCAGTGCTGCTGCCCAAGAAGACTGAGAGTCACCACCATAAAGCCCAAAGCAAGTAACTTCGGGCTGTCGTTGGTATAGTGACTTTTAAGTGTCAGAAAACAAAAGGCTCTTTTCAGAGCCACTTACCATCTCAGATAAAGGCTGTGCCTTACAGAACGTTAAGTGCTGTTAAGCAGCCATGTTAGCCGGCACCTGTCAGAAGCAACACCCGTTTAAGGGCATTTCGGGAATGTAAGGGGATTGAATTTTCAAGGAGCGTTGCATCAACCATTAGTCTGAGGTAGTTTTGATTATACGTGTCACTGGGCGAGGTAGCTCACGCTTGTGAGCAATCAGTACTTGCACCGAGGTTGAAGCGGGAGGGTCGTTTAAGCCCGGGACTTAACCATTAACATAATTGAGACCTATCCCATAGAAATTCGCCGGGTCTGGTGGTGCAGGCGTGTAGTCCCAGCTACACGGGAGGCTGCGGTGGGAGGGTTGTTTGAGCCCAAGAGGTGAAAGTTACAGTTAACGAAGATCGTTCACACTGCACTCCAGTCTGGGTGACATGAGCGAGACTGTATCTCAAACTAGTTATGTATGTCATGTTAAGGGTTACGTATGGAAGTGAAGATTGCATTACAAACAGAAGAGGTATAACCTTAGAGTTCAAGTCCAGGCGACATTAGTCTGGCTGGTTGCTTAAAGTACATTTTAGAGAAGAGTTTCCTTTCAAATATGGCAGTCTCACGAAATACTCAAATGTGACGTAAGTAAAATAAGTTAATCTTAAAATTTGGGTAAGCATATATATGATACCTGTGGCTTCATGCACTTTGTAAAGAATAATAGAATTATTTCTTAAAATGTAAGTAAGATATGTTAAAAAGAAGCCTTACACCATATGTGATGGTGAGATACTAGTGTCAGACTCAGGCAGGAATAGGACTAGAAGGCCTAACATAACTAGAAGTTTAGAAATTTCAGAACAGTATATGCTTCAAAAGTTTTGACTACTAAAAAGAGGCAAAATAGTTTGTTGATCTGTGTTTGCTGTTTGTGCTGTAACACCAAGAGAAATTGAAAAAACCCATTCAGTAACGCTGCCAAATAACTAAAAATTACTGTACGATATTCAACAGCTGCCCTTACCTCAAAAAAAAAGAAACCTCATTTGGTTACCAAAAAAAAAAAACTGCTAAACACTTGATATCTACACATAATAAGGCATATATAGAAGCAGGTAAAGTTCTATAAAATAAAACATGCCAAGTAAGGACAATCAAGTCACAAAAGTCAGTCATCCCTTGAATTAACCTGCATAAATAATAAGGGATGCAATTAGAGAAGGAAAAAACTGAAGATCTTTGAAAACGGAAATGACAACTATATGTTGAGTAAAACTGGGTAATATTTAGAACATGGCAAATGTGAAACTTCAAATCAGGATATAAGATAAATCTAAACAGATGAATTCCAAGTAATTAATGTAGATATACTTTGTCAAAGAAGTGGCACTTAACTCTCCAGACGTGCCAAAGCGAAGTATGGAAAGGCAGAAGAAGAGGGACTTGACTTTATAGGAGAGAACTTTCATATTCTTTTATTCCAAATGCACTACATAATACTTTTTTTCATCTCTAATGCAATCCTATTAAAATTACATTAAACTAAATGTTTAGATAAAATAAAATGTATAAAAAATGGTGAATACATGTTAAAGGAGACATGCCCCTTGATTTTTCAAAACAATTTACTTATAGAAGTTTCTGATTCTTCTCTTTTTTTGGAGCCAGAGTCTTCTCTATCACCCAGGCTGGAGTGCAGTGGCACGATGTCAGCTCATTGCAACCTCCAGCTCCCAGGTTCAAGTGATCTCCTACCTCAGCCTCCTGAGTAGCTGGGATTACAGGCGCCTGCCACCACGCCCAGCTAATTTTTGTATTTTTAGTAGAGACGGGGTTCCGCCATGTTGGCCAGGCTGGTCTCCAACTCCTGACCTCAGGTGATCCGCCCACCTCAGCCTCCCAAAGTACTGGGATTACAGGTGTGAGCCACCGCACCCAGCCTTGATTTCTTCTTACAGAACTTTCACACGTTTCATAGAATTTATCTCCAGCTATTCTTTTTTATTAGTGTATTTTGGGGAAATATTAGAAGGGTTTCTTTATTATGTTTTCTGATTGACCATGTTTTACAGATAGAACATTCTTGATTTTTGTACTGATTTGTATTTCCTTCCTTATTAAATTCTGTCATTTCTGTTGTCCAGCTTTTTTCCTTTGTGGTTTTCCAGGTAGGCAGGAAAATCATGTAATTTTGTCCTATTGTTTTAAATAGTTGACTTTCTTGTCTAAATGCATTGTCGAATAGTTATAAGTGATAATAAATAAAAATGGTGATATCGACTCCTCCCCCCTGCCCCTCCCCCCCACAGACTTCCTCTGTTGCCCAGAGTGCAGTGGCCTGATCTCAGCTCACTGCAACCTCTGCCTCCCGGATTCAAGCGATTCTCCTACCTCATTCTCCCAAGTGGCTGGGATTACAGACATATACCATCATGTCTGGCTAATGTTTGTATTTTTAGCAGAGATGGGGTTTCACCACTTTGGCCAGGCTGGTCTCGAACTCCTGACCACCCACCTTGGCCTCCCAAAGTGCTGGGATTACAGGTGTGAGCAACCATGCCTGGCTGACTTATTTTTTATAATCAGACTAATATGACACTTTCTCGTGCCTAATGCCAGGTTTTTATGTGATTGGTGTAATTCCAAAATTACTAAGAGTTGTTAATTAAAAATAAATATTGGCTATTAACAGTAAAACTTTAGCAGCAATGGAGACAAATATATGCCACTTTTTTCCTTTTACTTTTTTTTCGGGAGGCGGGGACAGAGTTTTGTTCTTATTACCCAGGCTGGAGTGCAATGGTGCCATGTCAGCTCACTGCAACCTCCACCCCGCTCCCTGTGCTTCAGGCAATTATCCTGCCTCAGCCTCCTGAGTAGCTGGGATTACAGGCACCAGCCACCACATCCAGCTAATTTTTTTTTTTTTTTTTGTATTTTTAATAGAGACAGGGTTTTGCCATGTTGGGCAGGCTGGTCTTGAACTCCTGACCTCAGGTGATCCGCCTGCCTCAGCCTCCCAAAGTGCTGGGATTACAGGCTGGGATTACAGGCATGAGCCACCATGCTCGGCCTCCTTTTACTTTTTATGATAAATCACATTGAAGGAATTCAGAACACACCACTCCAAAATATGTCACTCTGACATATTGACTATTTGGAATTAAAGACACTTGAAAAACAGCAGGTGCACAAACACTCTGACCTTCCTTTTGTTTCTTAAAAGTAGGAGATGAAAGATGCCCTCCCTATACCAGAAGGAAAGTATCATTCTCATCAAGGACAGAAAATTAAGGCCAAGGAAAATCTGTACAAATAAACCTTGTTACACCAACCCTTATCTCTCGAGTCACTTCTCCACCTAATTAATTACTGTAACCCCCAACCCCCTTTGTTTGTCACATTTTCACAGCTTACTGCACTTTGTCAAATTCTTCATATAAGCATTCCATTCTTTGTCTTTGTCCTACTTCTGTGCCATGTAAAACTTGCATTCAATAAATTTATATGCTTTTCTGTTGTTGACATCTCTTATGTCAATTTAATTCTCAAGCCCAGCCAAAATATCCTGAGGGCAGAAGTAAAGTTTTGCTTCCTCCACTACAACATTATGGATTTCTCATCAGAAATCATAGAAGTCATGGAATGATAGAATAATACCTTCAAAGTTCTAAAGCAAAATAGCTCTCAATTTAAAATTATGTGCTCAGATGAACTGTTTTTTGTGTAAAGCTGAAATAATTTTTGGACAAAGACTGGAAAGTTTTGCCACTCACAGATTCATACTAGAAGAATTAATGCTAAAGAATGTACTGAAATAAAAAGACTGAACTCAGAAGAAAGACTGAGATGCAATAAGCAATAGTATTACCAAGGAAGGGGTAAAAGTATAAATCATCTAAATAAATATACTAGTTGTAAAAAAAAAATAATACTTACTAGAATATTAAGAAAAAACAATGAACCAGAAACACTAGACAATAGTTACAGAAGATGAACAGGGCTGAAACAAATTAAAGCATGTTGATGTCCTTGTGTTGTTTATAAGGAGGACAGACATACTGATTGTTATATTTTCTTAAGTGAGGTTTATATTTTATGTTAAATGTAACCACTAAAATAATAAAATTAATGTAGACTAGAAAGAAGGGGGTAATCGCAAAAAAAAAAAAAAAAAAGTCCAATGGAAAGCAGGAAATCAGAAAGGACTGGCATGACAAATTAGAATGCAAAGTCAAATATAAGAAATGAGTCCAAATATCAAAATGAAGGTTACCCAATTAAATTTGCCATTTAAAAGACAGTATTTGACTAGGAGTAAAACACAGCTATCCCTTGGTTATAAAATACCTAAAATTTATTGGCACAGAACACTTAGAAGTAAAGGAATGGAAAAAATACATTCCAGAAAAAACTGTCCCCCAAAAAAATTGTTTTGCAAAATTAATAGCAGAGATAATATTTAATGAAAATATAATTTGCAAATTAAAAGCAGAAAAATTATCTAGGTAGATACCCTATTCCTCATTGCGTTAACACCCAAAAACAGCTTTATAGAAAACGAACAGCAGAAATGTATGACAAAGAATGCATTCACAATATAGTGTATATTTTAATATGTCTGTCTTGGAAAAAGGTAATCACCGCTACCACATATTGGAATGTTAAAAACACACTAAAGCATAATTCATGAGTTTAATAGCAAAACCATAAACCTTTTACTGTGTGTCTGTCTGTCTCTGTGTTAGTCTACCAGTTTGCCTCGGTTTCTATCTCTGTCTCTAAAATGTATGTTAATAATTGTAATATATATGCTTAAGAGTCCCAAAGAAACCTGAGTCCTCTACCCTAAACTTCATTTATTTTTTTAAAAAAAAAAAAAAATTTTTTTTTTTTTTTTTTTTTTTTGAGAGATGGAGGTTCGCTCTGTTGCCCAGGCTGGATTGCAACCACACTATCTTGGCTCACTGCAATTTCCGCCTCCTGGAT